CCTTACCGGTCAAACAAACAAACAAACAAACAAATAAATAAATAAATTCAGTACATACAAGCAATAGCCACAGAATGTGCTTCATGGAGTATAGAGGAGAAGATTAGATGTATAAATAAAATTCCCAATTCCAAATACTGGCTCTTGTTCAAATAAAATTTTGTTATGACCTTTAGGCAGCTATGACAGACATCTCTCAGCTCTTGAACTATTTGATATCTAAACATTCAAGAGTATTAAAAAAAAAAGTGATAGGAAAAAAATCCTCATAGAAGTTCCTGTGACAGGTCAAAATTTAATCACAACAAATAATACAGATTTCCCTCTTCTTATAACCACAATGAAAAAGCAGGGTTTGTGTTTACAAAACAGGTTGTTTGGAAGATCTCTGTAAATTGTAATCTTTGGAAATCGCAAACCTATTGAATATAATTCCATTCATTAGATGAAGACAACTTGTCTATGCAGTAGATCCAAAATAGCAAGTTAAATTAAGAACATGAACAGGAAGTGGTCATTAGGAATTACAATGGATAGGATGCAGAGTTAATTCATGGAGATATTTTCTTATGAGATAATTACATCACGAGGACAGCTGGAAAGCTGAGTGCCTGTGCTGGACCACAGTGCTTCTTCTCTGCCCTGCAGCTGGAGGGTCAGGACTTAGAGACAGAAAGAAAACTTACTTTATGAGATAGTTAGGGCTTGGCTGACTTAACTGTGAAATGATAATGACATATCTGCCTTTTCTAGATTGCATTTTGTACGGCTGAACCGTGGATTTGTAGCCTCAGAAAATGCTGAGAACCACTTTTCACTTCTACTTTTTGAACAGATATTTTATGGAGCACGTTAAGCTAAGCTCTAAAGGATAAATGTTGAATGCTAATTTTCTTTTCCTCTAAAAATTATCTGAGGTATTTTGTTCATATTCAACACTGTGATTACATTTTTCCTATAGTTCTGCACTCATGCAGTCATTGAAATAGTGTTTTTGTCATTTACTGAATATCTAGTTTAAAAAAGAGCTTTAGAAAGTCTTCAAATGTTAGTCAACACAAGGAATCATAGAGTTGAAGTTATTTTCCAGTGTTTATGTTCAAATATTCAGACCTGTCTGGCACTTTTGTTTTGCCAGGGTAGGGGTAATAGGCAGCCTACCCACATTCCTCATCAATTTATATAAATATCTCATAGATTGTTAACCTCCAGCCAAATACCAGGGATTTCACTTCTTGTTTAGCTCAGTTGCCTTATGTGAAACTTATTCGTTATATTAAAGCATCTATCCTCTCTTTATTGCCCACCAAAGTGACTATTATCTGATTTGGGGTAATTCCAGAGAGATTCATTGTAGATGAAAAGCATCATAAATATTAATTATAAAATTTCTAAGATTAATATTTACAACTGTTGATTCAAAATGTTTCCTATCAGGCTGGCCCTGTGGCTCACTCGGGAGAGTGTGGCACTGGTAGCGCTGAGGCCAAGGCCACGGGTTCAGATCCTATACAGGGATGGCCAGTGTGCTCACTTACTGGTCAAAAAAAAAAAAAATGTTTCCTATCCATTATGACTAATACAAGTGTTACTTTTTACTATAATAATATTTACCAAGCAATTAAGTCAGACAAAATTGTATATTTTAGTAAAGAGCAATATTTCCCCAAATGTCTTCCGTGGAGCACTGGGTCTATAGGATGTTGATGACTAACACTGGGGCCAAAAAGGGGAGTGTCCTACAGACACTCCTAGGATTTTTACTTCCGTTGACGCGACTGTGAATTTCTAAGGAGAATGTAATACACTCCACTTCCCGAATGAAATTAATAATGGCACCTTAAAGATATAAAGTTTTATCTCTTTGAACCTGGATGAGCCATTTCTACTTAAATAATACAGATTTCCTTTTTCTTATGACCACAATGGAAAAGCTGGGTTTGTGTTTACAAAGCATGTTGTTTGGAAGACCTTTGTAAATTGTAATCTTTGGAAATCTCAAACCTATTGGATATAATTCTCTTCATTAGATAAAGGCAACTTGTCTATGCAGTAGATCCAGAATAGCAAGTTAAATTAAGAATATGAACAGGAGCCACTTCTACCTTTGTACCCTAGGAGAATATGTAAGTATATATATTAAAATTCTTACAAGAATGTTCTGCTGTACACAAGTATCAAGTCTCTTGAAAAATCCACTTTTTAAAAATTGCGAATTAAATTGAGTACTTTTTTCCCAAGGTTTATCATTTTGAGTAAGTAGCTTGGCTTCAGGGAACTCGCCTTTATGTATCTCAAGCATCCTTTGAAAGTTAAGTGTGGAGTCCAGTTGCTGCAGGTGGCATCAATGAGTCCTAATATTTTGAAGAGAGTGATACAACTTTGAGGAAAGTGACACTGGCGGGTTAGTTGTTATTCTCGAATTGTGTCATAGAAAGAGTGCTTGAAGACAGCTTCAGTGAGATGAAGCAACATAGCATACTGCCAGGGCTGTTAGGTAACTAAAACAACGGTTTGGGGAGCAGATGACCTTTGGGTTCAGCAGTGTTTTAGAATCATTTCATTCTCCAGTTATGTCCCCATCAGAATTTTTTTTGGGGGGGGTGGGGAGAGAATTACTAAAATGTCTTATATATTTTACGAACTGTAAGCGCAATAAGAACTAGAATTAGTTAAAATCATTGTTGACTCTGGGCAATGGTAGACAATGTATTTTCTTCATAAAGGAAATGTATTCATTATAAAGGGAAACATTTTAAAAGTAATGTTTAAGAAGCACAACTGTAATGGACATAGTATGACCCTGTTTCTGCGTTAAGATTTGATTTTAGTACATGCCATTTTTTAGTTCATTGCTGTTTTATTTTATTATAAAAATAGAAATGACAGATAAGTATAGGAAAGCTTGGTCATTGTGGAGCTTCTTTTTCTCCTTCAAGTGGAAGTAAAAGTGAAGTTGTCCAGTTACATGGATTTAATAGACATAAGATGGCTCAAAGGAACCTATGGATATGGGAGTTACCTCAAATTACCAAGTCGAAAGAACTGTTTTGATGAACTTCCCAAGTTTTAAATCCTGTATGATAGCAATCATCTTTTACATAGTGTGGGACTTAAATCATTTATGGCACTGTCTTTAATAAATTTATTAATTAGGAGTTTTTAACTTTATCAATAATTTTCCAAAATAAGTCACATAGGGGAAAATATTAAGTTTAGAAGTAAAACTGAGAAGTCATAATATTTGGAAGTAGATAAATACTAGGAAAAACATCAGCTGATTTTATTTGATGTTAATGGAATTGTAGAAGTCACCCCAAACTGCCCACAATTAAAAAGTAGTTTGAATCTGGCTGTGAAATGTGTGTATTTATTGATGTTCTGTTGTTCACTCCATCAGATTTAACTTAATTACAGTGCTCTTTCATTTCTTTTAAAGTTTAGTTTAGTTTCACAGAGAAGTGCCAAATGTTGTGGGGCCCATATAGCCCAAAAACGTAGTAAGGTGGCATGGTGAACCAGCTAGGCATTAAAATTTTAACGGACGTAATATACAAACTGGATTGCGAGTCAGCTCTCTGTTTTAGGAATTAGGCTATATACACTTTTATAGTTAGTTTCTTCGAAGAGAATGTTTATCCAACTTTTTTAAAATGAAAGAAAATAATATGAACAGCAGTTTATTAGCTTTTTCTTAGTTTTTATGTTGTGTTGTTACAAGAAATTTACTTAAAGCTTGTTTATGGCTAGTTTGTTTAATTCGTCAAATATTTCATGAGAATCTCTTTTGCCAGATAGTGTGCTGTTGTTGAAACTAAAGGAAATTTTGTCCTTTGGCTTGAAAATTCTTTGGACTACTGTAGGCTTTTTTGTTTTTAAAACTTAAATTTTGAATTAGTTGTAAGATTTTATGGAAGAAACTGATTTGTCCATCCAAACTTAATTATAATGTTTGTTAATCTATTATTTAAGGGCAATATAGTTTACCAATGCAGTTTTTTTCCTCCAAAAAAAGAAATGTTAATGTGTTTACTGTAGAATGATTAAATTAAGCCGACTAACAAATCTATCCCCTCACATACTTAACATTTTTTGTGTGGTAAAAACATTTAAAATCTTCCCTTTTAGCAATCTTGAAATATACAATGCATTATTATTATAGTCATCATTCTGTACAGTAGATCTCTAATATATCAAAACATCACATTGTACCCCATATATATATACAATTATTATTTGTCAATTAAAAATACAATTTTTATAAAATCCTTTTAAAAATTTCACAGTGTTGATTAACATGGTATTTGGAATTTTAAAAATAATTAAGAATGTATGCACTTTCCAGGAAAATGATTTGTCCCACCAGGATGAGAAGGCTGTCTTCAAAATAAACTAAGTTTCTCCAGATACCATCATACTTATTTTCACAGGCATGGTTGTGACATCTTAAATTCCAGGAAAATCTTCATTGCAGAGTCCAGCATCTGCAAAGAATGCTCAGTCTGTCTCTAATAATTCTCAAGCTGTGAGCTAAGAACAAATGTTTTGCCTAGACTGCAAGTTTTTAAAACTGTCTCCATCAACAGGTTCTACCTCAGGTCTTAACTAAGGAAAATCTCCAAGCAGACTCTGTTCTTATGCTCCAGGCATGTTGCTTTCCCTTTGCTGCTAACTATGTGCTTCAAGTGCTCCTCTCCTGAACTTTCATATTGATATTAAAGTATCAGGCTGGCCATTTAGCTCAGTTGGTTAGAAGAGTGTGGTATTACAACACCCTAAGGCTTGAGAGTTCGGACTCCCTTACCGGCCAGCCGCCAAAACATAAAAAATAAAAAGTATCAGATTCTATTAGGTATCTTTGCATATGATCATAAGGAATGATCAGCACTGGCCTTTTTTTTTTTTCCTATTAAGTGTTGAAATTAAGGGATATGTGTAGGAAATACAGGTTACTTCTTTGTTTATTACCACCTACTTAATTCTTTTCTTTTTTCTTCTAGATTGTTTGATGTGTGCACCGTGTCACGAACAGACAGAGAAACCAAACTAACATTGGTATTTGAACATGTTGATCAAGACTTGACCACTTACTTGGATAAAGTTCCAGAGCCTGGAGTGCCTACTGAAACCATAAAGGTACCAAAAATTGTCTTTCTGCCTGCTCAGATGGTCTACTATTATAATCTATTAAGCAATAGTATTCTTTCCTTATGAAAATTGCCAGAATTACAGCTTTTGGAATTCCATATATAGTTAAAAATATCAACTAAGTAAAATATTCAAAGAATGGATATATTCTAATTCATCAACTAAGTGGATGTTCAAAAAATGGTTATATTCCAGTTCATTAATTTTAGAACAAAATGAAAAAAAATTATTTCTAATGCCTATTAAAATTATTTTAAAATACCCATTTGTACATTATTTGGCTCTAACTTCAGAAAGTATAGTGTATAAATATAGCTCAATCTTTTTCTGATGGTTCATGGTCTCTGAGGGACATAATTTGAAGCATGATTCTTTCTTTTTTTTTTTTTCCTTTTTGTCATTTTTTGTGACCGGTAACGGGATCGCAACCCTCGGTGTCACACCCGCACTGCGCTCAACCAGTGAGCGGACTGGTCTCTATATGGGATCCAAACCCTCGGCGGGAGTGCCGCCGCACTCCCAAGCGCCGCACTCTACCGAGTGCGCCACCAGGCCGGCCCGAAGCATGATTCTTTCATGAGCACATTTTATATTATAATTGTATACTGACTGCAGGGTATACCTGTGCTGTGTAAATCTGAAATACTGGTTGTTTGGCCCTCCTTTCTCCATTTTTTTCTCATTCATAAATGTTCATGGGAAACCTAAGTGCCAGGTACTGTGCCAAACTCTTGGGATTCAAAGATGATTAAGACATGCTTTCAGCCCTTAGAAGTCAGCAAGCTAGATGCAATGTATTGACTCAAAGTTCTTTCTTCCTTTAAGTCTAATGGGAAAAGTTGCTTATAAAGTTTTATTGGTCTTATTTGCATTTGCTTAACTGAACTTCCCAGTAGATCTTTTAGATCTGTGCACATCACATGCAGGTCTTCATGAAGACCTTCTTGTCTATGTGAATTAAGTGGCTTAACTAAACAGATTCTCTACCTTGTCATTCATTGTTTAGAAATGAATTATAGAATACAGCATCATTTTAGATAGGAGTTAATAGCTGAAAATAGTTTATCTTTCCAACAGTGTAAGTAATGTCTTTTAGTGATAGCTAGATGATATTCCCAAATACTGATACATTTAGAATTTGGCATATTAAATGATTTACTCCTTTGATTTTAGACATATATAGAGTGTATTTTTTCCCATCAGGCCCTCATAAAAGAATATGGTGCTCAGCAGTAGTCCCATTTCTTCCCAAGCAGTCTCAAGGACATTAAAGCTCTCTAAGTGTAGCTATTCCTAATGACTTTCTCTTGGCCCTCTTCTGTCTGGCATTCTATTCCAGTCCTCTGGCTTCAGATCTCTCTTTTACGAGTTTGTCAAAAACCTCACGTTCAGCATGTAGAGCAGGGCATAGGGTAGTCCCATTTCATATACTCTGTTTTCTGGCCAAATCGGACTAATCTCTGCTCTCTTAGTGTTGTCTGAGCGTTCCCACCTTGGTAGCATTTCTTCTTGTGCCATTTCTTTTGCTCCCCACCCCCACCATAACTGCCTGCCTGGATTTTTCAAGGACCACCGCTGATATCATTTGATCAAATCTTACAGCTGGATATAATCTCATTTGCCTTACAACACTTGTTCTGCATATCTTGACCTCTTTGTTATGTTTTCTATCTTTAATTGTGGTTATTTATGTATATATTCATTCATCCTTACACAATGATTTATACACATAGGTACCCAATATATAGGACACATTGTCAAGCTTTCTTCAGATATAATTATTTCAAAATTGTTTTAAAATGACTTCCGACAGCTTAAACATAAACTGTCAAAATAATCACTGTTTTCTCCTAATCATTTCTGAGTTCAAAGTTGTTTTGGTTGGGGGCATTGTTTTTTTAAACAGCGAGATGAGGTAACCATATATCTATACCATACATTGCCACCTACATAGATCTTTTGAGCTTTGCATTAAATTCTCTTAGGATATTAGAGGCTGCTGGGTGGTCTCTTTTGCAAAAGTATCTGTGCAGTTAAAATGATGGCTAAACCAGAGTGGTACGGTAGACTAAGGCTTGATCAGGCAGGAATAGAAGTGAAGTAGGATTGCAGGAGTAGGGAGGAGTCAGTTCTCAAGGGTGGAGGTGGAGAGGCACGGACAATAGGAAGAGGAACAGGCGGAAGGGTGGTCACCAAAGGGAGGTAAAGGGCAGGAGAGGAAACAGGGAGTGGCTGAGGCAAGATTGAGTGGTAGAGAGTGGGGTTAGGGGTTGTTGTTACTATAGACTTTTGAATGAGGTGACTTATTAAAAGTTAAAAGTTTTTCTGAGTGTTTCATCTATCTCCAGGGAAAGGGAATGTCATTTCATTCTGTGTTGAACAGGAGATTATCTGGGAGACTGTTAAATTTCTTCAGCCGCAAGGGTCAGCACCCCCACTAATCCTGTGGAAACCAGACTGCCTTATAGGGATGGAGGTGGGAGCAAGGGGCTCTGGTTACTTAAGGTTTATGGTTAGTGGTGTATTGATATTTTCATAGTAAAATAAAAACATAGTCAGTGTTAATGGTTAATTGAACATTTTTTGCTAACTTAAGGGCTAATCAGAAGACCCTTTTTATCATCATCCTTAATTTTTTTTAATTTTCTGAACTATCCTATCTACCTTCCTTCCATATTAAATATAAGATTTTTAAAATAATTTGAGTGTAATGCTTGAAGGTCATTGTTGAAAATATGACTAATCATTTAAAAGCATTTTAAAATCATCAAATGGATAGTTTTAGGCTAAATATATAATTGATGCAAATTCATTTTTAATAAACACTCTTATCTTTTGTTTCTGTAATTGACTTACTTTTAAGAATTGGAATGCGGGATAAACATCTGCTAAGTGGGAGGAGGTTCCAGCTAGTTGAGTTCTGGTTAATAGCAGTTTTTAAGCACACAACCAGAGAACAGAAATATTTTGTTGCTGTACAGGCTCTTTTATGGGAATTCTCAATAACTAGATCAAGCAAGTATTGTTGCTATGGACAACACAGAAATGGGTTGGGAACACAGAAATGGGTTCTTTATATAGAATGCTTTGTTGTAATAAGAGTTTTTCTGAATATACTTATAGAGATTTTTATTGAATATTTACTCTCTTCAGGAAGGGTTCTGTACTAGGCACGTTAGGCACACAAAACTGAGTTAGATGTGAACCTATTTTCAAGGACCTTAGAGTGTAAGAAAAGAGAAAATGCACAAAGAAGCATATGGTACACATTCTCTATGGCTATATACATAGTTTAGGGGGTGTTTTCAAGTAAAAAAAAAATACAAGCCACTTGTTTATAAACACAGTCTGTATCTGACTCTTTGCATTGTGGTGCCAAAATATTTCCTAAAATTTTTTCAAAGGATACAAATCATAGATACTGGTACTGACATTGTCTTGCATATATTGGAACATGTCATGTTATCAAAATAATTATAAAGGTGTAAAATATTTTAACATAAAATAGATATAAAGCAGAAAATCAAGATAAGACTTTATGTAAGATGGTTTAGGTGGAGGAAATTTTCCTCTACCAATTGTCCTCCACCGTGTTTTCTGTGGCACTGTTTACCTGTTAACAGGCTACTGAAATTCAGGATATTCTGGTGCACATTTAGAACATAAACTGCATTAGGTGGACAGTTCTTAGATTAAACTGGGATGTTCCGTGGTGTCTTACTAGATATTATAAAGGTAAAATCTTCTTGTTCACTATTTCATCAACATGTTTGTTAGAAAAGAGCCCATTATGGCCTTATTTTTCCAGCTTACTTATATCACATAATTTTTCAAATGCATTTAAATACCACTTGTTTTCAAAAAGTAAAAAAGGCATAAAACCATACTTGAAGACATTATTATTTTTGAAGGCGGATACTGGCTGAACTCATCTGGGATACCCTGTGATTATTGTGGATGCTCATGTCAGACTTTGATAAAGTAAGCTAGGCCTGACCTGAAAATTGTCACTGAGAAGCTCATGAGAATAATATAAAATTATAGGTGGTTCTTTCCAACATTTTTAAATACACTTTTTTCTAAAAAAAATAAACAAACATAGATTTACATCTTATTCATACTCCATCTGGAGGTTTTCATCACCTTCTTTAATCTCTTTCTTGATGTCCTTAAGATACATTCAGTCTTGGTTGACGATGTCATTTGCATAAAAGAGCCTATTGACTGCTGTGCTGTAAGGTCAACAGATATTCTACTTTTGCCTCATAGCCTTATCTTTGATATATCTTGCTTTCCTCTTTCTAATTCAGAATAACATCTTTGAATCTATTTAATTGTGGAGGAGTTTAGTGCCATCTTTATTTAATTTTTATTTGATCATTTGAGATTTAATATTGTCTTCTTGGACTTCCACGCTTAAACTTATAAGGCAATAATTTACACCTTCATGATTGTGTAATTTTTTCTTTCAGGGTTCATGATAAATTTAGAGTATCTGTGTTTATATGGCACCTTCCATTTATGGGGTTTATGAGGGGAGATAAAAGGCTTTCAGATTTTTCTTTTTTCATGTTTTTATCTGCCACCCTATATAGAGAGGGTCAGACAGAACTATAAATAAATTCCTTCACCATTTTCCTTAGCCATTTGTAACTGCTACCCAGAAAAAAGAACTATATAGCAGGATATATATGGGGGGAGACTCCTGTGTAATATATTCTATATAGGCTTTCAAAATGTAATGCCCTCTTTTACTGAACCATTCATTTGGTACTTAGGCTTGCCTGCATAATACATTATCTTTCCTAAGATATGACCTGGCTTATCAACTTTCTTATAAACTCTTAGAGAACCTAGTATCATTCCTTGGACATTCTGGGCATGAAACATGTTTGATGAAATTGGCAATACAATTTCACAAGTATGAGACACTGTAAGATCACACAGAAGATCAGCAGCCTCTCTAAAATAGGACAGGGTTCTTTTAG